GAGAAGGAGAGAGGAGAGAAGAGAAACAAAGAAGAGAGAGAGAGAGAGAGAGAGGGGGAGACAGAAAGTAACAGACATCATCGCACGTACCCGAGTCCGTTGACGAAGAACTTCTCCGTGATGTAGTCTTTGCAATTGGAATTCTCAAAGGCGAGATAGAACTTATAGTCCTCGTCGAGCATATCGAAGCACGTTTGCGACTGCGACCGCGGACAACGTAGACTACCGCACGCACCGTAAATGTCCACTTGAATGTATTTCGAGAGTTCCCTGGCATAATGCATGCGCTGATTTCGGGGGTGGCAGTTGGAAACGAACCAAGCGATCTGATTAAACAGAAATGCAGAAAGGATCAAGTCAGCGTAGTAGTCACGTGTAGTAGTATTTACCTTATAGTAATTACCTATTCGGCACGAGCGAGAATAACGCAATGACATGTACGAAATTTTTATAATAATATCAAATGTACAATTTGGTAAAAAAATTTTGCTCAGAAAATTTGGTTCTCGTATCTTACTTTTTATTTTTATCAATATCTTTTATCTTAATTTTACTTCTATTTAATTTGAATAATTTTTTAAATTTATTTCTATCTGGAAACAATATTTCTTGATAAAAATTACAACACGATTCAAGAATATAAATGTTACATTATTTCACTTAGTTGTCAAATAAATATTATTTTCGTTGAATATGTACTTTTTTAAAATATCAATTAATCGGACTATATAATAAATTTTTAAATTTTAACTTTATTAATATGTATGTATTATATAAAATTAATTATTAAAAAAATTAATACAAATTAAGGCTGATAATTAATTTTAATATTTTCATAATCAAATAAATAAGAATTGTATTTTATAATTACTTTGGTCTGAAAAGAATATATTACTTTATTATTTTCATAAAACTAAAGAAAATAAAAAATTATTATTCACTGACATACATTATCCTATAAAGAATATGGTTGCTCAGAAAATAATCATCGCAGATAATTTAAATTACATTTATTTTTTATTAATATATAAGATTTTCTAAGAAGATTAATCTAATAGTCTTACCTTCTTTGTTTTGTTTGCTGCATAATTAAATGTTTGTGGGATCTGTGTAATACTGGAATCATAATATTGCCATCTTTCGTAAGGTGCAACTATGTCACTGTCACGCCGATATGTGGCGGTCCAATTAATAAGAGCGTTTTTTACACTTTGCGTGTGATAAGGACATTCTAAAAAATACAGCATCCACACCTGCCGAAAATCACATTAATATAATTCTCATTAGGAAAATTATAAATTGTTTATAATATAGATAAAATTTTACAGCGAGTTAAGGCCAAAACGGCAGTCAGTATTCTCAAGTCAAGTCAAATCACAAATACTAATGTCACTTGTCGGATGTACCTGATTATAAGACCTTCGTCCCACATGCGTGATGTAATCCTTAAACAGAATAAGATCGGCATCGTCCGGATTGTCACGGACAATCGTGCAAGTATTTACCGGGCAGCGTTGCTGGAAGAATATATCAGGACCGACTTTTGCTTCGGTCATCCCGTGAGGAATCATTATTTTCTTCAGTGGATGCTCTCCGCCTGTTCTGTTGTAATCGGGTGGCATAAACATTAGCTACAAACATATTTATAACATTAAGTATAAGTATTAGTATATCATGCAGAATTGTGTGATAAAATATTCTCGATTGAATTATATAAAAAAATCTTTTTCAAAGCATGCTTGTCTCTATAACTTTATATATACTAAAGAAAC